CCCAAGTATTAGTATTCCTTATAAAGGAACCGTGGTAACTGTCCAGTGGTGGGAACCCCTGCTAGACACCAGTGATGTCACACCACCGGAAGATACCCCTCATGGGGTAGACTGAGAAGGGCATAGCACCTCTGTGGAGTCCCCCCACCCCCACCCCACCCAGAGCCTCCCCTCAATCTAATGATGAGAAAGCATCAGGTAGACTCAAGTGGAGCAGGAGCGACATTCTACAAAACCCCCACCAGTTCTCTACACAAGTGTCCAGGCTATTGAAATCAGGGAGAGACCAAGACATTTTTGTCTGCTACAGAAGACCAAGTAGATAGGGCTGCCTTGGTTTTCGAGGGACAGAAATACACAAGTAGGTTGCTGCCACAAACAAAATTGTTCTTCTGTCCCAGTTTAAGAAATCAGACACCTGATTTGGCTCCAAGGGGAAGGCTTTCTCTCTCACTTGCTCACAGTGTAGGAGGCAGGTCCTTGTCTCTTCCCAGCATCTGTGAGCCTGGTCTGACATGAAGATCTCCATGTATCTTGATATCAATCTTCTCCCAGGTCTGGGAGTTCCCCAGCACAGGGACCTAGGTCCTAATGACATGTCCCACGACCAGCTCATCCTTCTTGGTGGCTCTGTTCCTGGGATAATTGCTTCTCTGTTTTCTTCTTCTTTGTCCTCTGATCTCTCACTTGTTTAATCTCTTCGATGTCAAGAGATGGACTCAAAACCTAACCTAATCCTATAGATTGTAGTCTGACTCATTCACCGAACAGCCACGAATTCCACCTCATTAGCACACAGGATAATGACATCAGATCACAAAATGGAGGTAAATTGCGTCATCCTGATAATTGGAGGCTAGCCACATTAACACATATTTCGTCCCAGAGAAAGACCCTGAGGAGGGAAACTGGCAAATCGGAAGGAAGCCCGTAGTTTAGTGACTAGTATTAAATCAGTGTCCTTGTCTTGGTCTTGATAACTGGACTCATTATGGAAAATAGTACTATTAAGAGAAGTGGGGTGAAAAACAGAGGCGCTCTCTTTCCAGTCTTCTGTAAGTCTAAAATTGTTTCAAAATTGAAAGCATAAAAATACACACCCATGAACCGAAATGGAAAGATCTGCCCAACATCGTTTAATGGGCACGGGAAGCATTCCACATACATGAAATGACCAGAAATGCCACATACTTTCTGCCTTGCCTTTTGGTGGAATCGTTCTGCAGCATAGGCACCCGGCCCTTGCCTTTTAGCAGTCTTTTCATCTCCTCAGTGGTCTGTGAGGTGGAGGAATCTAGAGGGATGTACTCTGCTTTGATGCCACGGGCCTCCAAGGCTGTGTCAGGCCGTCACGGGCATTCGTCTGTCCATCTGTTATTTTGCTGCCACTTCCCATTCTCATCTCCAGGATGTCTTGTTTCTTCTTGTGATCATTATTCCTCTCTTGTCCGCTAATATCATGCTTCCCTAATATTTTGCTTGAAAACGCTATCTGTCTTCAAGTGTTTGTGCCTAGTCCGTTGGCTTCAACAGCAATAACCTGGCTTTCCCATCTAAGAGGGTCCGACTCTTTGCTCTGATGGATTTTTGAGGCTCCTCCTCCCCACGTGGCGACAGAAGAAGTCTCTGTTCATTTAGAGATGCTGTACACATGGGCTGAGGGTGTAGGGCCCTGAGGCCTGGCCTCAAACTCCCCTGGGTAGTGTGAATAATTACCGCACTCGGCTGCTAACTGAAAGGTTAGCATTTCAAGTCCACCCAGAGTCTCTCTGCCTCGGAAAGCCCAGAGGAACACAGATCTTTGCCAGGAGTTGGTATAGACTCCATGCCCCCCAGGCACTGATAACGTTTTCTGAGTGTGTGCCTCTGGGCCAGGCCCTTCTCTCCTCTGCTTGGGTTTTCTTGGGCATCAGATCTGCTCAATCAATGGATCCGAGCAAGGAGCTTAGAGTGGTGTCAGGCCAAGTCCTGTCGGAAGTGCTTGTTACCACGGTGTTGTTCTTGCCTGCCACATTCCACGTTAGTGGAGGTTGGGAGCAAGGGACACTTCTAGTAGCATGACATCTTGCTCAATATTCATGTTCCATGCCGGCTGGCCTACGGCTGTCTCTCCCGCTCTCGTTTCTCAGAGAAGAGGTTTCCGGACTCCTTCTCTGACGGTTACAGAAAGGGACAGCTGTTGGCTTCGGCATGATTTCCTGGTGCTCTGCGCAATCGTCTGGGAGGGCCTGCCATTTCCCGCTCCGTGTGCCAGGCATGTTGAACAGACCGCAGGGGGCCTGGATTGAGATGTGTTGAAGAAACAAATGCAAATGTGACCGGGCATGTGGGAGAAACAGCTACAGTCTTCCCACCAAAGTTCACGTCCCTGTGGATGAGGGTGCAGAGAAGCTGGGGAAACACACAGCTTGCTCTTGGGTGTTCTCCAAGGAAGGCCCAAGCAGTCCAACCCCCGCCAGCAGGCCCTTGCCTGGAACTCTCCCTGTTTAGGAGACCTTAGCGACTAACCAGGGTGCCTCCCTGGGGACCCCTGGCTCCAAAGGAACAGGAAAACAACCCTAACTGCTGAGTCCCCTCGGGAGAGTATGGGGCAGGAGTATTTCTGGGTCTTCCTCGTCCAGGAAAGGAGACCACTGAGAGCCAGGTGATGACCAGGGGCCGACAGCTCTGGAGGCCAAGCCCGTCAATAAGGAGCTATGCGCCTCAGGCCTCCAAACAGACAATTTTGCTCCACAGCACCATCCTGAGGAGGCCTGAGCCCCTGATGTGAGCTCCATTGGTCCACCTGCAGTTCTCAGCACCCAGAAGTGCCCCCACCAGAGCAGCGACTGCTGTCGTCATTGTGATTTTCCTCCAGCGGGTCTGTCTGCTGGGCAGTGCATTTCTCAGCTCGCCTTCCGGGAAAGGGTCTCCCCAGACCTGACTCCCAGGGAGGACCTCTCATCGAAGAGGCCACTCTGTGGGGAAGACCCACTTTCCCAGGTCAGAGCCAGTTCATCAGAAGCTGTGACCCAAAGCAAAATTAATCCGGACAAAGGAGGGAAAGACAGGCCAACTGACTGGGGCAGGGACGGTCCTGATCCTAAGGGGCCACTGACAGATGCCAGGAGGACACACCAAGAGAGAAGCCAGCACCGGTCAGGGAAGAGGGCATTCTTTAAACTGTTTCCTTTTATTTGTTTTAGAGTTTTAATAAGTAAAATCTCACTGCAAAAAGGAAAAGTCACCGTGGCAGATGAAGGACAGGCATGTTTTCCAGCACCTGGAGGAGTATCCTGGATACATACGCATGCCCGCAGGAGGCTGTGTAGGGAGGGCCCAGTGAGTAGTGAGTCCCATCAGGACCCAGAGGAGCTCCAACTTCCCAAGCACGGTCTCCTCCCCTAAGTTTGAACCTCTCCACTCAGAGGTCTCATCCTGAGGGTCTTTGGGGGAAGGTAGCTCAACAAGACCTCCCTTATTGTATTTGACCATTCCTTCTTAGCAGGCTTGCAAGCCAGGGTAACCCCTGCTTGCCAGAGACAGTGCAAAGACAGCATTGCATTGCCCACCTGTAAAGGCCACCAGCCCAGGCCGCAGCCGCCCAGGGCACTCCCAGACCCCACTGCCCTTGCAGTGCCTTCAGAGAGAAGATGTAGTGTCTGAAGTTGTGTGTCCTTTAGAGAGGGTGCAGGTGCCAGAGAGGGCAGCCCTTACCTGTCTTCAGTGCGCCCTCTAGCGTCCAAGAGGTTGGATAGTCCCTTTCACTCTTCTCTAGTTGTAAATGCAGAGCCAACTCTATAGGGAATACGGTACCTGAGGGCAGACGACCTGTTCTTAAAGAGCATCAAGTGTATTTGAGGAGATCAGGCACTGAGAAATAAACCGATGCCAAGAGATGTCTCTCGAATAGCCAGTGGGGAACTGTGATCAGATAACAAGTTTCATTGTACTGCCTGTGATCATGGATATGGCATTACCACATGAACCATCTTCATAACCAGAGACAATAATTAACACCGAATTACTGAGCACTTGCTAACACTTTAACATTGTGCTGAGCCAAGGGTGGCAAATATGCAGACATGTATTTCCACCCCTTTACTTCTTTGCCCATGGCAGACATCACCAATCAATCTCCACTCTCTTTCTCATTGGGCTAGCATGTAATCCTTCTCAAGTGTGTCTTATAGAAAGTGGTTAAAATTGGTGCACATGATGAAGATGATCTAGCCTACGTTTGATATTCTTGATGTGTAGCTCCTCACTTTTCCCTTATACTAATCCTTTGACGTAGATTTGTTTGAGGTCGATCCTGGTTTGTGATATCCATGAAGGAGCTCAGGTGGCACAGAGGCTAAAGAACCCAGCTGCTGACGGAAAGTCACCCATGTGAGCCCACCAGCCGTGCCAAGGAAGATAGATGTGGCAATCTGTCTCTGTAAACATGACCGTGGAGCAGTTCGACCCTGTCCTGTAGGGTGACTATGAGTCAAAAATGACATTACAGTTGTGGGGCTTTACTTTTTAGTGTAGTTTTACTTGTGATAGCTGTAGAAGTCACTTCCTGTCTTTCCCTCCTCTCAGCCCCTGGCAACTTCCAGTCTGCTTCCTATATCTGTAGACTTGCCAATTCGAAACATCTTGTGACTGACTGACTTCCTTCACTAGGCCAATGTCTTCAAGGTTCACCTCGGTTGGAGCCTGAATCAGAACCTCCTTCTTTTTGGGGGCCAAATGATATTCCATTGCATAGCTATACCATGTTTTGTTAACCCATGTGCGTTATTTCCCATTTGTTGTTGTCATGAATAATATTGCTATGAGCATTTGTATGACTGTGTGTTTGTTTTTGTTTTGCTGGTTTCCTTTTGACTCACCCTTGGGTGGTCAGGCAAGCCTTCCTGTTGATTTCCATCACCCTGGATGGCAGAAATTGCAGCCACAGGGAGACTTGTTTGAATCGTGTCTAGTGGCTGGGTTTTCCAAGTCGATTCCTATGATTTGTGTTTTTCTTGTAGACCTGCCCTTCGTGCGGAACTACCTTTGCTCCCAAATCTGAAGCTGGTGCAGAAGGAGGTGCTGTACAAAACGGCTGCCAAGACGACCATAAACACAACACCAAGGTAACGCGCTTATGGTCGCAACTTCCTGTAACTTCCTCTCCTGACTCATCCACCCGCGTGACATTCTTTCTGCCCAGGTTCTCTGCTGGGCGCATTCCTGCTCTTAGACGACACCACCCGTGCCTCCTAGGTCTTTGCGTTTCAGTAGATGAATACCTAGCAAGATGGAGAGACACAACTGACGCCCTTTGTGGCGAGTGAGAGGTTAAAGATGGGCGGATTAGAGAAGTTAGGGAAGGCTCTAAACAGCTGGACGTGGGGCTCAAAACACGATCGAAAGCAGATGTGCAAAGAGAAGAAGCGTCTTCTTTTGAGATGATGAGGGACTTGGAGTTAGATAGAGCAAGCAGCAGTGGGACGTCTGGAGACTTTGAGACCAGGGCCAGGACCCAAGTGGAAAGCCAAGTAAAGACCAGACTCACGAGCTTTTTCCAGGCCGCTTACGAAGGCCGACTTCCCCAGGGAAACTGTGTCGCTGTCGTCCTCTGCCAAGGGAGCTGCGGGATGTCTCTCACAGCCACGATTCCCACCAGAAATCTAATCCTTGACATTTACCCAACTTTTCTTAAGATGCAGCCTCTCAGCTCAAGGCTTCCTCTCCCTAGACCCATCCTCCCACCTCTGAGGAGCCCCTCAAGCCCTCCACACTGCTCGCCGGCATGCTGGCTCTAGAGGGAACAGACTTTCCTAGGACCTCGACTCTCCTGTCAGCATCCTTCCCACCCCCCTTCTGGTCTCTTCCCCTGATAGTACCTTCCTAGTTGCCCGAACCCTGGAGATGCAGAGCCGGGCAGGGGAGAGGCAGATGGGTAGAAAACAGAGATCTTAAGGCGCCGGCCCCTTTGCAGTTGAACCTGCTGCTGGGAGAGTGGGACACCAGCATGGCAGAGGCTGGGGGTAGAAAGAAGTCTTGGCGAATGCCTACACGCTAACCCCTGTGTTTGTTCCCACCTTGTCTTGAGGTAGGCTTCTGGAGGGCCTGATTCCAAAACCCAGAATGGACTGCTGAGCCCTCCCCCAAAGGAGAAGCTCACCAACAGTCAGACCTCGCTGTGTGAGATCCTACAGGAAAAGGGACGGTGGGCAGGGGTGAGCTTGGACCAGTCTGCTCTCCTTCCACTGAGATTCAAGAACATCCGGGAGAAAACAGATGCACACTTTGTTGATGTCATCAAAGAAGACAGGTGAGATTGAAGCGAAGCTCCTCAAGGGTAAAGTTTTGCAGGTACAAGCCCCCACCTTTGTGCTTCCAAGTGTCTGTTCTCTATTGTCAGCATCTTATTTTAGCTTGAAGTCATTTCAAAATCAGAAACGGTCCAGAGAAATAGAAAGAATTCCCATTAAAACCTTTGCTCAGAATCCCCAGCTTTTAACATTTAACTCTCTTTGTTGTATTGTTCTCTTTCCCTTACTATGCCCAATGGGAATTCAACACTTCATGGAAAAAACTTTGTTATCATTCGATCCCATTTTTCCACGAACTTTTTGAAGCCTTATCATATGTGAAGTTCATTTCTTAAACCATTAGATGGTTAGCTACATCCTATATCACAGCTCTGTGTGTGTTTTGTAAAAAACAATCAGGATGTTCTTTTATGCGATCACATCTACGGGGTGAAATTCAAGAAAATGAACACTGATCCAATATTTATCTACTTGTACTCGGTTTTATCAGTCGGCCAAAGTGGCCTTCGCAGCACTGTGTGCCTCCCAGTCCAGCCCCGTCAACCACAGGTCACGCAGTGCGCTTAGTCACCATGCCTCTCAGATTTCTAGTCCTCAGCCACTCCTTGTCTTTCATGATGCTGGCATTCTGGAGAAATCTAGGTGATGGGGGTTGCATTTGTGAAGTGTTTCCTTGCCGTAGGATTTCGGTTATGCATCTGCATGGCCAGGATACTGCAAACATGATATTGGGGTCTTCTCAGGTTATAGTAGGACACCTCAGGGGTGATGCTGAGTGTGATCAACTGGGGAAAATGTGGTCCAGTTCTCCAAGCCGGGGTTATTATTTTTTCCTTATAAGTAATAAAACAGTCTGTCGGAAGATACCCAAAGATCATTTAAGTGCCCGTTCTTCATCAGATGCCCCTGCATTTAATATCCATTGACCAGTCTTACCTAAAATGATCCAAATGGTGCCTTTCCAACTGTGGCACTTCCTGCACACTTAGCATTTGGCATTGCACTATAAAGAAGACCCCTTCTCCGTTTATTATCCATCCACCCATCCATCACCAACCTGAATGATTTCATGTAAGGGACTGTAATTCACCACTGTCCTTATTATATTTCCCAGTCTTGGCCTTTGAGAGCCCCATTAGGCTGACTGCTCTTTGGACACATTCTCCCATCATTTGTTGAGACAAATTTCTTATTTTCTAGCCCCCCAAAGATGTTACAGCCTCATCTTATACCTTCCTTGTCCCGCTCAAGAATCAACTGTTTCTCCAAAGAACCCTTGTGATGAGATCGATTAATGAGGGGCACTGTTCTAGAATTCTCTTTTCTAGTGGTGACTTGCCTGGGTGTGGGATCAGCATTACCCTGACTTCCTGGAAAGAATTCAGAAGCGGTCGTTCCTGTGCTGTGTTCTGGAATAGTTTGAGTAGTGTTGGTGCTGGCTCTTTTCAGTGCTGTTAGAATTTGTTGTGTGTATTTTGGAGTTTTGTCATTGGTGCATAAATATTTATTATGGTTATGATTTCTTGGCAAATGGACCCCTCCTCATTATACAATGCCCTTCCTTCTCCCTTGTGGTGGGTTGTGCCTGAGTTTTTGAGTCAAAAAGAGTCTACAAATTCACAGACACCTTTATTAAACACAAATATCAAAATGGGAAGCCGTTGCTTCTCAACATGTCCTCCATCTAGGTCTATACTGGTTTTCCCTTGAACAGTTTTAGTAGCACAGAGTTTACGTATCATACAAGTCAATAGTTCAGCCATTCAACCACACCAAGGAGAGTTGTGCAATCATACCACATCAATTTTAGAACATGTCTGCACCGCCCGTGGTTAAATCGCCTTTAAAACGAGTTGTGCAATCGCAGTCAGTTCTAGTGCTCCCTCAATTGGGTGGTGAGTAACCGGGGACTGTCTGTGGGGCAGTGTTGATTCTGCCACCAGACTGTCACAGCATGCCCACTGTGCGTCCTTCCCACAGGCGCAGTG